TTCAATTTCACAGCCACAAAAGAGTCCCATGAAGATCACTTTCCATCTGCAGACAGATGCCTAAACCCCATTGCTGACACTAACTCTGTCAGGGTTTTAATATCTGACTCCGTGAGTTGCCAAGTGCCCAGTGGTTCCACTTCCAGCTGCCTTGAATGTTAAAACAAATATTATCAGAAAGACTTTCAATTTATTCTTAGGAATGGCTTTGATATTTAGGTCTTGCCTAAGAATTAGGCTTTTGCCCAATTGTTCATCAATAGCCTGAACAGAACCTTTAAAGTAGCCTTTAAAGGGGGAGGTTTACATTAAAATTTGATTTCAAAGGGTAATATGTCATTCTTTTAGTCTCTTGTTCAGGCAGCCAAACTGAAAGGGTTTCTTTCAAAACCTCTTTTTTTAACCTGCTGTTCAGTGCACCTTTGAGGTCTCATCCAGCACAGGAGGACAGTGGGCACAGAGTGATCCCTTTTACAGCAGAGTGATAAGTTTAACACTTTTCTTTTAGTCAGTTTAACTTTCTCATTCTGGCAGTGTCAAAATGCTGCGGGACGTGGCATGCAAGAGGAAATGTCACCCTTTAAAAAACAAGAGCAGATTTTGCTCTCCTTGGGATGTGAGAATCTTTCTGTCTGCCCTTTGGTCATTCCAGCAGGCTGCTTGTTAAAGCTTAGTCATGAACCTCCCAAATCCTTCCATTCTGTGTTAAGCTTGAGGATAATTATAGATTCAGTATTTAAAAAAAAAAATCCATAAGATAAAGTACAAACAAGACTGGGAAAAAAAAAAAAAAAGAACCTGCAGCCAGGATTTATCAGTCTGCTGTTTATGCTGCAGGGCTACCACTGGGGACAAGGTTTTTCAATTGCATTTCATTAATACCTTGCAAAACCAAGGAAACAATAATTAAAAAAAAAAAAAAAAAAGCACCCCAAGCTCGGTGTATTATGCTGAAGAACTGAGGACTGTGAAAATCCAAGGATGTGGGCCAGGTTTTGTTGTGGGAGAACTTCTGAGCAGCTGAGGGAGAGAGGAGGAAGTGCAAGTCAGGATTTTCTTTCCGCAGTGCCCTCGTTGCCGTGAAGGACCCAGAGCTGGGACACTGACGTGTCTTCTGCTGTGAAAAAAGTGATTTATTTGTGCCTAGTGCACCATAGGAAGAGTATCCATAATAGTTTCTCCAAGTGAGCAAACTGCTGTGGCAGCACATTAAGAATCCGTGTGGGTAATCTGTCACTGATGGCTAATTGCACGAGGAGATCACCAAATTAACTTTTAACCTGGCAGAGTCTACCAAGCAGAGATTGCCAAAACAATATGATAATAATCCAGGGGTTGATTTAAGTCTTCCTCAGTTTATAGAAACTGGTCCTCTGCGTCCTCTCTGCCATTAAAAAAAAAAAAATCACTAAAGCTACTTGCTGGTCTCCAAAACCTTCCAAACACAAATGAGACTTCCCAGTGAAGCCACAGCCGTGCTTGGAAGGGAGTTCCATGGGAAATTTCCCCAGTATTTCACAGAATATTCTGATTTGGAAGGGACACACAAGGATCATTAGATCCAGCCCTTGAGTGAATGGCCCACACAAGGATCAAACCTGAAAATAGAGGTGCTGGAGCTAAACCTGAAAACAAAGATGCTGGAGCTGATGTTCACTGAAGAGAGGGAATTTGCACACCTGACAACTCCACAAAAAATCCTAATTTTGCAGGAAGGTCACTGAGCCAGGGGATGTCTTCCTTCTGCCCCTTCTCCTCCTGCTTTTTTTTTT